AACTTTGGTTCTAGGGTCTGTTCCAGCGGGGGGGGAAAAAAGCAAAAAAAAAAAAAAAAATAGTTTGAGTTTGTATAGTTGCATCTTTTTTGTCTAAGGTTCACTTTTAATTCTGTGCTGAATATACCAGAGGACACAGCAAGGAAATGTGCTGATAAATTAGCAAACCAGTAAAAGGGTAAACTCGGTAACCAGTAGGAGGTGCTGGCACCTCCTCACACAGAGCTGGCTGTAGTTGCTGTGTCTGAGAGGTGGCTGGCTGAAGGGCAAGGTTGGCTCCTGCTCCCACTGCTAAAATCTGCTATCTCCTCCCTCGCCCAAGTGCAGCACAGCAGTTGCAGGGCTTGGTTCACCTGCACTTTGCCTCTTCTCCTCTCGCTGCAAGGCTGCACAGGCCTCCTAGAGTCCTAGGAGATCCTGCTCTCGCAGCATCTACTGTGTCTCAGAGACCACGGGGGCCTTTTCTCCCAGTAGGTAGTAATTTGGGCATGAACTAAAGACAAGGACTTAAATTCAGCTGAAGGAAGGATCAGTTTAGACCTAAAAATGCAGTAAAACGAGTCTCTTGGGAATGAGTTGTTGACTCACTTCGGACTGGCATAGCAATTGCAGTTACCCTTGTACAATTCCTATACCGCATGTTTGGTATTGCATGACATTTGCACTTTGGGGCAGCTTTCTTCTAAGTTATATTGTTTATTTTTAGGAAATTTAAAGCCTACAGCTTATGTTTCTCAAGTGTGTAAATGCCTGCATACCCTGGCAACGTCTGTACATCGTGCTTGGAAAATTGGGAACAATTAGAAAGTCTCTCAAAGGTGGTGTTTTTGGCACTGGAGCATTTTCAAGTATAAAAACTTGGCTTTGATTACTCAGTTTAATTTGGCTTTTATGTTTTTGACTTGCTGGTTTTCTTGCTTGAATAGTTTAATGGGGGTTAGCACTTAGACAAAATGGGGGGTCAGGGAAGAGAAAGAGCTTTGCAAAGAAAAAAAGATTCTGTATTTTCTCCTGAAAACTGCTGAACTATGCCCTATCATATGGAGTGCACTCTGTCTATGTTTTTCTTTGCAGTTTCTGAGCTTTACTGCTTGAATCATCCATTTCTCTTTTTAATGCACTTGATATACTTGGAAAGGAGGGTGCCTGCTCACGGTCTGGATGGACTGCTCTCCCAGCACCCCCTCCCAGCTTGCTGCAGTATAGCTACTTGCTTTCCTGGGATCAGGGGGTTATGGCAAAGCTGGAATTTTCCATTCTGCACCATGAGTGCAGAGAGACTCATTGTCAAACGATCGATACTGTCTTTCAAGCCTTGGAAACCCTGCAGAGGTTCAGCCTTCAGGAAATTATTTTTTTCCCACAGAGAGAACCCTTCATTATGAACTGATAATTAAAAAGCTGAAGCCTAATATACTCCATCGTTTTCTTTCAACTCAGATTGTACATGCAAAGCCAGCAATTTTCAGGACCAGCTTCTGCAAGATACACCATTTGAGCGAGAAAGAAAAGTGAAGTAACAAGGGGGCTGCATATTACATGAACCATGCTGCTTTGACCCTGATGATCTGCCCCACAGAAATCCCAGCTGATGTAATTGCCCAAGTCAAATAGAGTTCACTTATAACTGGTGGCAAGAAAATCGTTGCCCTTCCAAGACAGAAATTTGTTGGAAACCCTCTGAAGACCTTGAAAAGCTCCCAGTGTCTCTGCACGGTCATTAATATTAGCCCAAGGGATCCACAGGGAACGTAAAGCCAACCCATAGCAGGGTCAGGTTCATCCTTGCCTGGCGTCAGTGAATGATTTCAGTTAGCTTTATGAGATCCGATTCCTATGGCATGATTTTCAAAAGAGCCTGAGACAGTTACTCTGCCATTTCCTACTGCATTTCAAAGGGTTATTGAGCACATGCACTAGACACTTAATGTCAATAAACCTTTACTGCTGATACATCGAAGGTATTTTATGGGCAAACGCTGCATGCTGGCCATTGATGCTAGTACCTATTTTTAATTGCAATGTTGAACTGATACATTATCACAAAATAAGGAACAGAATAAACTGTTCCAGATGTTTCAACACTAATTGGATTTTAGATTGTTTGGTTTCATTTGTTTTTTTGGTGTTGCTTTGGGGTTGTGTTTTTTGCTAATAGGTTTTCTAAAATAAATACTAGCCATAACAATTAAAAGTTATCAACCAAAAACTGGGATAAATTCACAAACATCTTTCTACTAACACTGAAAATCTAGTAAGCACACTGTTTGATGGATGCTGTTAAAGTAGATTGTGGCAGAAATTTCATCAAGAAATTGTTGAGACAAAATGAAACCTCTTTTTTGCCAGGGTAGAAGGATGGATCAAGTGTTTAAATGCCAGGCTGACTGATGCCTTAGCAACTGAAACTGATGGCCTTCTGTTAGGCTGTTTATGCTGCTCAGGTGGCTTCTGGCAGCTAAGAGGCTGGTTTTAGCATTTAGAAGATGATTGTTCAAGACATGCAAGACAATGAAGTTTCACCGGCGTAAATTAGAAGTCACTGGGAAGAGAATGAAGTTACCTGTTTCAGACTTGGCTTTTTTTTTCCTGTTATTCTATGCAGGATCCACTTCTGGGCTCATCTCTCTGTTCTGTGCAATCTGTTTTTTTTCTCTGAACATACAAAAGGCTGAAAAAGAGATGATGCCTCCTTTGATAACATCAGCCAGGCAAATGAGGTTCTCTGTGTATTTGGAAGGCTGTGCTGGGTTTACCCTGTACAGAAAATGCTTCACATCTTGGAAAACATA